ATCTATTCAGGCATAGTTTTCGTTTATTATCATTTGTTGAATTATTTTCTTTGCTATAGATAATCCTTCTACATAATGGATTTCTATAATAGCTTGCTTTAGAAAAATTTTTCCTGTAAGATCGATACTGAAATGAAAAATGGAAAAAGCCAGATTCATTTTAATAAACATCAAATGATTAAGTACCCAGTTACTGGCACTAGTGCACACCTACTGATGACTAGTAAGATCCAGCACAGAAAATAATACTATTAATTCAGAGATTCTGGGAATAGTTTGAATAATACTTAAAAAAAAAATACTAATACAGTTCTATTAATAAATTCAACAAAACTTGCTAAATTATCTAAATACATGTTCTATTAAATCCAAATCAATCTTGTATAAAAATCGATATAATTTATGCATTCAAATCAAAATAACGGATGGTCCAGAATAAATGGCGGTCTCAGTATTATGCTAATATCTCACTTGATTCTCAGCATTTCAGAACTTATGTTTTTATCAAAAGATTCTACTTTCAATTCTCTACAAAACTACATATTTTTGTTAATGAAAGCTTACTTTCTCATTTTTTGATGCTGAATACAAAAGATTAACCCAATCTGTCCAACTTTCCAACTTAGGTTTTTTTGAAATATTGTTATCACACTTTTTAATTCTTAAATTAATTTCGTTTTCTACCTTAACTTATTCTAATTTATTATTTGAAAGTATTTAATGTAAATGAAACAGTTCTACTAATTTCTGCGTTTATTGTTCGAAATCTTATGAGATTTATCAAAAATCCCAAAATCTGTCTTCACATCAGCCTTGATTTCAGTGTTCGTTCATGACTTCTCTCCAGTTTGCTGAATTTTAGCTAGTTCTGGGGAGTTATCTTTTCGTCATGTCTATTCTATCAAAAAGGTATATCCATTGTCCTAAACAATAAAATACGGTGCTTAGTAATCACTGAAGACCAAAACATATTTAAACGTGATAATACGAAATTCATACACCATCATTTCAATGAAGGTTGATGTGAGAGCAATTTTCTGCGTTATTTTTGATAATTATCATAGGATTTCGAACAATAAACGCAGAACTTAGTAGAACTGTTTCATTTACATCAAATACTTTCAAATAATAAATTAGAATAAGTTAAGGTAGAAAATGAAATTAATTTAAGAATTAAAAAGTGTGATAACAATATTTCAAAAAAACCTAAGTTAAAAAGTTGGACGTATTGGGTTAATCTTTTGTATTCAGCATCAGAAAATGAGAAAGTAAGCTTTCATTAACAAAAAGATGTAGTTTCGTAGAGAATTGAAAGTAGAATCTTTTGATAAAAAAAAAGTTCTGAAATGCAGAGAATCAAATGAGATATTGGCAAAATACTAAGACCGCCATTTATTCTGGGCCACCCGTTAATTGCTACATTAAAATCCAAACAATTATTTTATTAAAATTCCAATATTGTTGTAGTAAAATCTAAATAAAAGTTCCATAATTGATTTAAAAATTTTTCTTGGATCATCTAAATAAATCTTTAATTGAAAAACTAGAGAAAATTTCATTAATTATTTCAATATTTTTTTTAGTTCAGAATGGAATTCAACAATCGGTTATTTTTTTATGTCCATATTCTGTCTTATGATAATTTGTATTGGTTTTCACGTTTCACCTATGCCAGAAAGAAGGGTGTGGATGTGGGTGTTGGCGTGGGTGTGGGTATGGATAAAGAGAACTGAACATCCACATCCCCTATCCCACCCCCCACACCCACTCCCTATTCGCCTAGGCCAATCTGAGGTTGGACGTATTCTCAGTTTGAACTCTAACATATATATATATATATGTAGTCGAGAACAACATTTGGAACATTGTCCACAGTCGTGTCTCGTGGATTTTCATGTTTTTAATAATAGTTCAATGATATTAATCGATTATCCATCTGAAGAACATAATGCGCAATACAAAGAACGTGATATATGTGCTAAGATATCAGCGAGAAAATTGAAATATATCGATCAAGAAAGTCTACAAGATTCTTGAAAGAAAATTTGTTAAATGTATTTCAACTTATAAATAAATAACTTTTATTTAACTAATAGATAAAAGCTCATGGATCGATCAATCATGTAATCAAGATATTCATATTATTATTGAATCAGCAGCTCAAACGTGACAGAGATTTCTACTTGTTTATCTCTTTGACCGAGTGTTAAGAATGGGAAAATAACAGTTACTCACTCCGAATTATTTGTGTCGTTCAGTTGCTGTTACACGCTCTCCATGAGAAAAAAGTTTGTACATTCACTTTTCTTGTGATAGAGGTTCGTTTCACAACTCTCCGATCTTCAAGATGGTTGATATGAAAAAACAACTTATATAATCATTTATCTATATTATCAGTAACAGGACTTTTCCTAACAAACCTCCAAGTTTTACATCATATAGATAGAATGAATTGAGAAGCATCAATGTAGTATCATTCCTAAGTGTGTAACAGTTCAAAGCTCAATGATTCTTGAGAATTAAACAAAAAATGCTGGTAATCAGCTCTTGTCATATAGGCTATGTGATTGAAATCAAATTAGTTCACCTAATCCATTCAACGATGAATTTTTCAACCTGATTCTCAGCTCTTGATGTGTTTATGTCGAACAGATCACACACGAAATGAAACTGTATAGTGTCATCTATAATCTTCTGTCATGAGTTCATCAATAAAATGTGATACGAGCTATTCAGTCTCTGTTGTATTGCATTAACTAATAAACGTTGTCAGAATTTTTATGTTATATCTCTCACATAAAATAAATCCAATTAAAACGTTTTAACAAAAATATCTATTAGATCATCAGGCTACAGTAACTCTCAACGAGTCATTGAAAATGTTATACGATCTTTCAATTTTTAAAAAGAGATATTATCAAGTACAGATGAAAAAAACATAGTAAATGGCACAATAGTGGTTAGACATATATAGAACATTTTAATAGAATATTTTTGACAGCTAAAATATAACTCACAGAAAAATCCAAGAAGTGACAGGTAACATTAATTACATAAAACAGTATTTGACAAACTCAAAATTGCATGTCAAAAAATTAGATTTATTATCAATAAAGAACACAGATTATTCAGTTGACAGGATTAATAAACAAAAATTGTCCTTAGTTGTAATCTTCTTGATCTATTAAATAATGTTAAAAACAATTTCTTGTTAGTGTACAAAGGTTCATTCGAAGGAAAATTCTAACATTAATTAGCTTCTATCTAAACAACATAGTTTATAGATACTGACACATCATATCTATTTTTTTTTGTAGAACTCACATATAGTTTTGAAAAGAACAGCGAGTATACGTTTAAATCGAGGTTTTCCCGTTTTCATCTCCATAGTCTTAGCAATTGAGGGTGAAAAGAGGAAAATCCAAGATCATTGGCTACGTTCCTCTAGTAATCGAGATGGGAACTAACAATCATTGGATAAGTTTTTCCAGCCACGTAAAAAAGCAAATCAATAATAACAGTACTTGGATTATTCTGGAACGTTCTAGAATCTTCGAAAGCATTCTATGAAACTAAGGTTTCTACTATAAATTCTAACTACTTTAAATATTGTGGGCTTTTCTATTTAATGCAGAGAAAGAGTCTTATGGTAGATGTCAATCAATAGGGCGAAGATATTATTGATCTAGCAGAGTTAGAATAGGACGGACATAGAAAAGTATGAACTAATTGAATTTCAAGTTTAGATAAAATTCAAAAGTATATGCTAGAGTTCATCGAGAGAATAGATGGTGTGCTCGTCAGAGGTGAAACCAATCTGAGTAGAACGGACTGGATCGAATTGATCGATCGGTCAGAAATGCATACCGACACTGGACTGACGAGTTGTCGTATTACTCCATCGATAGATAATGATATTTGACGTATTCAATATTCAACAAAATTTCATTACACATTCTCTATGAGATAATAAGAGCAAAGCCAATAGATAAAATACTGGTAGTGATCAGTCTATCGGTTGGTGATCAATATCGGCTCCACCTCCGGTGTTCAAAAGCTTATTGAATGATTAAATCAATATATGTATAGCAGGCTAATATGATGGTTGAACTAGTGACAGAAAGAATAAAATGATATTTGCCGCTTCCTATGACATGTATCATATATAGTGTTATTAGGAGAAAAGAAGTTATGTATTGAACATGTATCTGTTAATACAACTAAGCTTTTTTAGTAAAACGATGTTAAATAAATCTAATAAATTGGTAGAACAAGAATTTTGAATGTAAATATTTTCAAAATGATAAAATTGCAGAGCGAGCCTATCAACTATAAAAATTGTAATAAGTTTCATTTATTCATATATTTGACATTTTTTTAAAATGAATTATTTTAATCTCTCTGACGATATATCATAAATTTATTACAGTCAAAGTTGGTGAATTCCGCATTTTGACATCTCATGGGATTGCACTGACAAATTTTTTTCAAATAATTTATTATAAAGCGATGAACAGAATTGAAATAGACTTTAAGTTTGAACACCAAGTTTCAAACAACGACCTGAAATGAAGAGCAAAAATTTTTCAATTAGTAAACTCGGATGGTAAATTAGTTATGTTTAGATTCAATGCTTTAAAAGTCTTTATTGAGGTAAAGGTTTCAAATCGAATGATTAAGATCAAGATCTAATTCATCTTGCTCGTCAATTTTTCCATGCTTCATTATTTGACACATTTATGCAAAAGCAAAGTTCTCCTGGATGATGAGGATATTCAACTTTATATGATGTCTTTTTTTTATTCAAATCATAAAAATTCTTTTACAAAGTCTTGTCTAACTACAATAGATACGATTATATGAAAACAAGACTTTCAGAGAAATCGCATGTATTCACTGTATTTTTTCCATAGAACCTTCTTGCATTGTAATAAAAGTTGAAATAATATTTGCACAGTACACAACACGACAACGACTATTTAACATCAAATATGTACTTTTCAGCATCGAGTATTCATTATAGTCATAGGATAAACTTTTACCCTCCGACGTCGAAGTGCTCGACAGAATTTTTTTTTGATCATTCGATGCATTTCTTTCTGCCCAACAAGTACCATAAATGGATATCCAAATATCACTAAATATTTCAAATGAGTAAAATAACGAGTTCGCACATTGGCAGCCCATGATTGAAATCGATTATATCGAACATAACTACCCATAATTAATAAAATACATGATGGAACATATATACTCATATATAAAATAGCTATAAACATCAATTGACTAATCATTCGAAAGTTTTGTCGCCATAAACCAAGTCGATGTCGACATTTCATTTGTCTTTTTTGAATAAAAACATGAATAATAAGTATAATGTTTCCAATAACAATTATACTTAATGGAAACATGAAAAATATAGCATTTTCAAAATGAGTTAAAACTTGTGAATTTTTCGAATAACACAATGTTCCACATTGAAAAGAAAAATATATAAATGAATTTTGACATGGATAACCAAATATTAAAACTGTATACCAAATAGTTGCAAATAAAAAACATATAACCATAGGTATTCGATAGAGTAATCGTTTATAACGACGATGAAAAACATGATGAAATATAAAAATATATCTATCAATAGAAGTAAATGCCATAATAAAGAGATTAACTGCAGTTAATATATCATCATACCATGTCCAAATAAGACAAAATATTGGATATAAAAAAGGAACTTGATTTTGAGAGAGATAATAGAGACGAAATGGTAGATCAGTCAATATCTATATGAATAATTGATATTTAGATCAATTTTGAATCAGAAAAAAATTATTTTCAAAGATTCAAATGGAAAGAAGAGAACTTACATGAATGAAGTTGATAATCAATAAAGAGATGATGAATAAATTAATTGATTTAGATCGAAGATGTGGTAGATGAATAAAATTGTAGAATAGAAAAATAAAACAGATAATTGATGGAATGACAAGAGTTGTTAAACGATAAAGCATAACTTCTGGACTTTGATCTGTTGCGTTTCCTCCAAGATAAGTATCATTGTCTCTACCAGGTCGAAAAAAATCAGATTCATTTGATCGATTTCTATTCCATAATGGAGAACGTATTGTAGTATAGCTAGTTTGATTGAAATTCGTTGATATAGACATGATAGTTGCAAATATAATGAAGAGAAATACTGTCTTGAATTGTTGTTTCTCGATTAAATGAACGAACGTTTATATATGATAGCAGGAATGGATGGACGTTTGAAAATGGTGATAGACTATAACAGATGTATGTGACTAGTTGATAATGTTTACATCACTGAGTAAAATGTAATTACATTTGTTTTCCATTGACGTCATAAAAACCAAGAAGCCAAACTTATTCTGACAACTAAATAAGCTGAAACAGGTGAAAAATTTTGCAGAAGATTAATTAACCATTTCAATCCCGGCGGCTCTTTAAAGAGCCCCTCATGTTTTACTTTTCAACATTAATGTATGCAATTAAACTGATTTCACAGTTCAATAGACGTCAACAATACTTTCAACTGGATATATTACATTAATATTTTTTATATTCACACATCTCCCCACAATCTCCTTTTCTTTAAAAAGGAAATTAAAATAAAATAAAATAAGAAATTTAAAAAAGTCTCTTCAATTTTTCGAAAAAAACGGGGACTGAAAAGGTTAATAACTTGTCTGTTGTAGACAAACAGTTAATCAGAAACTCATTTAACGATATATTTAATCAAAGAAATAGACTTTTAATTAACTGATCCTTCAAAAGGATTTCAGTACTTGAATGAATTAAAATTTCTTCGTATTTTTCGTTTACTTAAATATTCTCTTGCCTAAAATCAATCACATATAATTTATTCGATTATTCAACTCTATCAATGTCGTTTGATCTCATATTTTAGTACCATAGATAAGTTATTGATAACCTTTATGGAATGAAAATATCTCGAGAAGACTAAAAATATGTCTTACGTATTCATGTATCATTTAAACGAAAACTTATCAAGCAAATAACAAATTTTCATTTCAATGGTTTATGAGTACATAAGAGATATATGTAGTTTTTTCAATGAATTCTTATTCTATAAGGATAAAACTTTCGAAGTAAGTTTAAGCAATCAATAACTTATCTATAATATACATACGAAATAAAATAAACATTGTAGCTAGAAATAATAGAAGAAATGAGATGTGCCATTTATTTTAGCTAGTCAACGTGATCAAATGACATGAGGATGCTTAAATATTTATCCTCTTTTCGGTTGTTGCCGATACATATCCCTATCTAGGCTAAGTAGACTACTTCGAATTATCAATAAGAACCTTTTGAGTGTTAAATTTTAAATAAAGGAGTAGAAATGTAAAAGAAAACTTGGCGAAAATTTTGTTTCGTGAATTCTTATATAGGAGTTAAAAAACCTAAAACAATGGAACGATATGTCAAAAGCTATGCATTCAAGAACTCAAAATTTTGTTTTGAAAAACGTTACAACAATTATAATTAGTTTTGACAATCTAATTTTCTTCTTATACTTCGAATGCAGAATAATCGTACGACTTAGTCATAACCAAATACTTCCTTTTTCGTTGAATCAATGTTCTAGTCGACAGTTAATGTCTATGGAAAAGAAAGAAAGGGGAGGTGTTAAGCGATAAAATCGTATTCTCTCAAAACTGAGTTTATTATTTTCCAAACAGCCAATTCGCATGCCAGAAGTCAATAACCATCCGAATTAGACAGTTAAACTTCATTCTGACTGCGCGTGGCTGACTCAAAACTCGATACTATCTGTCCCTGAGAGATTCATGATATAAAAGATTTCTGTGAAAAGCTTTCATATCGCCTTCAACTCTTTTAATATTAATTACGTATCAAATAAAAGTTCATTGTTTCCTCTATCAAATGGCGTATAAACGTATGACAAAGTATTTGTTCTCTTTCCTTCTTCTTTTAGGTGATGCTGTTCGTTCATCTATACAGTAGTATGATTACACTCCTGGCTAAATCTCCCTTATTTTGAACTGTGAAAGCAGGGATGTACTTTGAATTATATATCATTCGATAGAATTTTCAAAGTTCTATACAATGATATTATTGCGTTGAACTTTTTTTTATGGGCAAGACACTTTAGTCAAATAACCAATATTCATGAGTGTCAAAAGTCACTCGTTTTCACTGATATATAATGGATTTTTGTCAGAATAATCATGCTTCCTATCAAAACCGATAGAATATTTAGATGAAGCAGAAAAAACTGAGTCGATCTATGTATGTCACTACGTCCTACGACAACTCTCATTTTCGTCCAAAAGTTCACTCCTAGTTTCTTCAGGGTTACGTCGAAAAAATAGTCATTCAAAACATCATTTTTACTGTTTGTCTATCAGAGCTGCTGTTTTTTGTTTTTTTTTTAACCCATGGGTAACCCAACCCATCGCCGGTAGTTGATTGGGTGGAAATCAGTCCAACTATTTTTTATTTTATTAACCCATGGGTTACAGGATTGGGTTGAGCAGCTCAACCCTACCCATTGGGTAACCCATTGGATTAACCCTGGGTTTTATAATATTTGAATTTTTCATTAAGTATTGTTAAGAGAAATGCAAGTTCAGATCCGCCTGTATAAATTGTTAATAAAATGAAAAATCATTTCACAGGATATATAATAATAGATATTATTTTTATTTCCATACAGATAAAAAGATAATCTTCACCGTGGTTAACATGATTAAAGAAATTATAATACAAAATAAAGGTAGAAGAGAATAAAAAAACAATAGAAGTTAGATTAGTTGCACTTGTTTTACATTTACACTATTAAGTTTATATACAAAAGAACATCACCAGCGAAAGAAATAGACAAAGAAGTTTGTCTATGGTGAAAAAACAAAGTATATATGATGTTATATTTTTACACATGCTTTCGTACAAAAATAATATTTCAAAAACAAAATTTGAGAAGAAATTAAAAAAAAAGAAACATATTAACAAGAACCTGTACGAGATAAATGCTAATCTAACATACCAATAGTATTTTTATCTTGATTTTCGATAGATCGAATCAAGATGATATTTTCTAAATTTTCACCCGACAAACATGTTCGTCGATCGTTGAAAATAATCCCGGCACTACTAAATTACCTTTCTATGGGTTCATTCAATGGTCAACCCTGGGTAACCGGACAGGGTTTGAATCTGAAATTGGGTGGATGGGTGGGTTTTGAGATTTTTTAAATGTCGACCCAACCCGGTGGATTGGGTTAGAGACTAACCATTGGAAGCTCCAACCCAACGGGTTGGGTGGGCTAACCCACCCATGCGACAGCTCTGTTGTCTATCTGTCATTTTGGATTTTTCTAGGTTTTAAAAATTTAGCAGTGGTTCTTCATAATCAAGCTCATGTTTCAGTAGAATTTATTTTTTTACATAACGCTAAGGAGGACCAAGATCAAAATTTTCGACGAAAATAAAAGGTGTTGAGGAACATAATGACATATATAGATCGACTCAGTTTTCTATGCTGTGTCTACATATCCTATCGGTTTTGATAGAAAGTCTAATTATTCTAATCGAAATCGATTAAATATTAGTCAAAACGAGGTAACTTTTGGCACACATAAACATTGTGCATTTGGCTAAAGTGTCTTGCCCATAAAAAAAAGTTCAACGCAATAATATCATTGTATAGAACTTTGAGAAGTCTATCGAATGATATATAATTCAAAGTGAAACGCTACTTTCACAGTTCAAAATGAGGGGATTTACCGGAGGGTGTTCCCTATACTGTATACATGAACGGATAACATCACCTAAAAGAAGAAGGAAAGAGAACAAATACTTTGTCATACGTTTATACGCCATTTGATAGAGGAAAGAATGAACTTTTATTTGATACGTAATTAATATTAAAAGAGTTGAAGGCAATGGGAAAGCTTTTCATAGAAACATTTTATATCATGAATCTCTCAGGGACAGATAGTATCGAGTTTTGAGTCAGCCACGCGCAGTCAGAATGAAGTTTAACTGTCTAGTTCGAACAGCATTTGACTTCTGGAGTGCGAATTGACTGTTTTGCAAATGATAAATTCAATTTTGGGAGGCAGTCAATTTCATCGTTTAACGACTTCCCCTCCTTTTTGCAATTTTCAGCAAATCAACATGTATTGTAACAAATAGGAATTGAAATTTGTTTCTCATTTAAAGTTTTATTATTCTTCATTTGACAAAAGCACAAAATTAAAGAATGATTATTTGGTTTACAAATGAGGAAGATAATATGTGGATAACATGTATATCTATAAATGTTTTATTTTGATAAAACAAGGACAAAATGTAAAAAACACATTAAACCTTGTACTGTATGATATAGTCATTTAATTTTTTGACTCAACGTTTGCATCTTGAGTGTAAATCATTTCTATGACCTATGATGTTTTTTTTCAATATTAAAGTAGTTATTCAAGTGCAATATTAGTTTTAAATAAAAAAAAAGCTAATACTAATATTCAATAACTATTTACATAATGTTAATACATAGATATCGTTTTCAAGAACTTTTCTAATGATGATCACTGAAATGAAAGAAAATTTCAAAGATAGATTTGATATCGTCTTAAGAAAATTAATCATTGAGTATCATTTCATGTGATATACTCATCTTTTTAAATTTTCATGGTTAAGCATATACGACGTATATTATTTTTTTTCTAGTCATCTTAATGATAATGTTTCTATACAAGTTGTACTAGAACTATTAAAAGCATTCGTTTATTTTGATTGTAAGTGTAAATAACTTATAATCTATGTGGATCAAATGAACGAACAATAAGCATGGTAATTGATATCGAGGATAACTTTTTATTGTCTTTCTCAGGAATTTCACTTGTGAAAAACGCTTGTTTATCTGTTATTGGATAAACGATACTTTCTGAGGTAAAATAGAACTGTGTTTTTTGAAGCCAGTTAGGAAATGCACTGACATATATATGGTTCTCCGTAGCTTTTTTAGACAAAGAAATCTACAAATTTATGGACAACTAATTTTTATTAAAACAATATTGTAAGCAATGAAATCCAAAGGTTCTCGGCGATGATTACATTTAGGAAACTCATCGATAACAGAATCGACTTGATATCTAATTCGTAATAAATATATATGATAGCTAATCTATTATGTCGTTTTTTTGATATTATTGTTCTTTGAACTTACTTGTTTTTCAAAAAGATTTAGTTATCTGAAGATAGATTTTAGTCCAAAAAGACACCTGAATCAGCATTGGATATAGTAATCTAGAAAAATTTTTAAAAATTGCCATTTCACCAGTATATGTTTTAATTTTTTGCATAAAGTATTCATTGGAAAAACAGATCTTTCTCAAAAAAAGAAAAATTCAATATTTCTAGGCAGATATTTAGATTGTCTTGTTTAAGTCGAAGCTACATTTCTGTTTTATTTTTTTTTTGAAGGAATCATCAGTTAATGAGAGTAGAGACTGATACCCTTTGTGAATTAGTAGCTGTTACTCACGAGTAAACATTATTAATCATTGAATTTTACACTTTAATAACCGTGGTTAACATCTCTTGACGATCTTTTTTTTATTTCAAAACTTCCAGAAAACATTGATTAGAGAGACTCTCTGAAAGAACATTACTTCTATTTGCAACAAGAGGGAAGAAATGACGATCGATGGGTCGCCTTGTTGTTAAGGTACCACCGCTTGTATGTAAAAATTGAATGAATTTCTGAAATGTAAATTACTTATAAATGAATTTTGTTGTCCAAAATTTCATCATTTTCCTCATCATAATTTTTCTATAGCGTAGCTCTATTAACAGATTGTATCCTCAACTTCAATTTTTTTTATATTAGCTAAATTTTGTAAAATTCATTAGTGCTGACGTCAAGAAATATATTTCGAAATTGTAACTCTCATCAACATTTCATCATTAATATCCTGATTGTCATTCTTTCATAAAAGCTACTTCGAATATTGAGATTATGGTCAAATTAAATATTAATCATGTTTCTATTTAAATACATGAATATTCCAAAATTCGACAGATACAGTTATGCCGAAAGGATTATAGTAAATATTCATTAAAAAAAATAATCTTGTAACTGTCATAGACTCTTAATAAACAAAACATACAGAATATGATATGGTTGGATTATTCTAAAAATCAAAACGTACAATTATCGTACAATAGTCTATATAAGAAGACACAACTTCAATGCTCAAAAACAAACTCGAATTCTTTATATCTAGAAAAACTTAAGATGAAAAAAATATTTTTCAATTGTACTTTCTGTTTGTCGCAAGTAAACTGAAGTTTTCGATCGATAAATGTACCGTGATGGAATTTATCTTGCATAATGAAATGTATCTTTTGTAAATGATTCTTATCAAAATATTGCACAAAACAAGTAACAGAATATTGTCTAACTTAGTGTTTTTCCATCTTAAGCCATTTATTCTGTTATCGAATTTGTTTTTTGTTGTCCTCAATATATGCATGTCTTATCACAACTTGTTATCATATTAATACTTGTTCACATTATTTCTTATTCGTGATTTATTTTCGATCTTTACCATTGATTGATTTTCTGTAGCATAAGTAACTTTACTTTCTATAATTTATTCTTATTCATTGAACAATTTTTTGTTTAAATATGTCACAATATTCAGAGAACAATAATGATTCTTGTTAAAGTTCATATTCAATTGACTATCGAATTATTCTTTGTAATTATCTTCTTTAATCATTTATCAATGTTTACAAAACTGACTTTCTTAGTTCTGCATATAACTATCATACTTGTACAAACTATATGTCAAACGTGGTTTCATCACATTTATTTAATATTTGAGGAGAAATCAGAACAATGTAAATTTATTTCGTTCAAAAATTAATCAAGAAAGTCAATTAATGTAGAAGATAATTAAATTACAAAAAAAAACTTCATTCTTGTAAATTTTATTGTATTTCCGAAAACAATTAATGTCTTTTAATTTTTTAATTCAATGAGAAATAAATGAATCATAATGAACCTAAACATGTTGACAAGACTTGTGCGTGCTTTGTGAATATTACTGTATAGCTTTGTTGAATCAGTAAGCGGCATGAATTGCAAGAAGACACGAGATTCAATTTATTCTTTGCAAAATTTCGAATATGATGGACGATGCAAAAGTTTGTAGACAAAAACAAATGTTCACGATTGAACCAGTTGAAATTATTCTAGACAGATGAAATACTATAGATTAGAACTAGAATAATATGTTTTTTCCGAACATAGGCAAACGAACAAATTCTTGCTTACTCTATAACTCTTTTTACGAAGATGATAAATGCTATTGAACCTGGTAATTTTGTAGACCAGATACTTGTTAACAAAATACAATATTAAATTAAACTGTCATTTGTACATGAACTGAAAGCTATAAGCATTTTTTTGGAAGCTACATTCAGCGTAAAACATATTTTCGTCAAAAAAAAACGATTTTTCAAAAATGAGGATGACAGAAAAACAACAGTTTAAGTGCTTTTTCAGAGGGCAAATAGTACATCTTGTAGGGCAAATTTTGCTCTAATATAAAGAAAGAGCTAAAAACTCTGATTCTAATCCTTCGTCTTTTATTCATCTAGAGTACTTTCAAGCGTGTCAAAAATGAACAAATATTTTGTCTAGAAACTTTTACATTAACCATTATAATTGTTTGATACTTAGAAATAATCTCTCAATCATGTAAAACATGATCATAATTGATCTGTTTCTCTTTAGATGAATATTCAAGTTAAATCAAGTATTCATAAATTTAATGAATAAAAAAATACACTAAATAATCTTCAATTAGAAGAGATATTACAAGCAATAAATTGTTAGTGTAGATGTTAAAGAAATACTTTTTTACCTAAAATTAGATCTTTTCACTTCATTTAATAAAAATGACACTGGGCATATTTACGTTCGCCTTCAACATCACTATATTTTAAAGTTAATTGTTGTTTTTTTTCAAAATAATCTATTCAAATTAGTGGACCTCTTCATCTATCGTGCTAATGTCTAATCAAAGGCAAGATCTCCACTCTTAACATGTCTATTAGAAGATATTATATTTATTTCTAATTATATCTTGATTATTTAGGGACGTCAGTGCCGAATATGCAAAAGTAATTGCATGAATAAAATGACGTATAAGTCAGTCTTTAGTCATCGAAGAAAAAAAAAGAAGATAAGAGGCATCAAATTTAAACTTTATCCTCTGACTTTTTGTCGTCATGCTTTCAAGTTCATAACAGAATCTCATTTGACAGGGTGTTTTCTCTAAATTTTCTCAATTATTCCAACGAATAAAAATTCTTTGCACAAAATAAACCGAATAACCTTTATTATCATTTTTTTTTGTTCATGAAATTAGTTACATTTTATTTATCATTATTTCAAACTGAATAATAAATCAAAAGATAGAGTTTGTTTTCCATCAAACAAGAATTAATTAGTTTTCTTGTTGGTTTTCATCTCTTATTTTATATCATATGAATAATCCATCCATGCTTTAGTTCTTTTTTTTTAAACCTCTTGTAAAATATTAATTATATGTTAATAACATGAGGTGGCATTTCTTGTTGTTGTTATTGTCAAACAAAATAATGTCTGAACATAGTCATGTTAGTAATTTATCACATATTCTAACTAAAAATAAATCAAAGAATCAATATTTGAATATTATATACGACAAACAATTTTATAATTTTCATCGATCATCATCGTTAATGGATGAAATTACATTAATTAACAATCATTTTCAAATATTTATAAGTCTAATTCTTTGTATTGTGAGTTTAATGGGTACACTATTACATATAGAAATTTTAATTCAACGATATTTTCATGCGAAATCATTTTCACGTCATAGTTTCATACAAACATTATTTGATTTTTGTCATTTAATTAATATATTATTTACTCATAGTATTATCATTATTGTTTATATTAAAACATCGACAAATGTAAATGTTTATTGTCCACTTTCAGCAATTTTTTTTTCATTGGCTTCATTTGGATTTATTAGTTTTATTTGTTTGGGAGCTTTTCATCGATATATGTATTTATTCAAAAAACAAACTCAATATCGATGTATTCGTCATCGTTTATTGGCTCATCGAATTATTTTAATAACATCGATAAGTTGGTTAATTTTAAATTTTCCAAAATTTAATTTGAATGGAAATTTATAAATATTCTTATTTCTGCAGGATGCTTTGTTTATTTTCATGTAAATTATGTTCGTAATTGACTTTCTCCAAAAAAAATAAATAAAAATAAACTACTTACGACAATCCAAATGTCGTGATGATAGTATTTTATTATCGTATAGAAAGCTTAAGGAAATTTTCTCTCTGTATAAAATGAGAGTATTAAAAAAAATATTCTATGTTTCTGCTATATTTCATCATTCTTCAACTAAGATCATAGTAATTAAGCTAATGTCCATTTCAAAGAAATAGAAAGGCGAATGATTTTTTTTCTTCAATAACTTTTGACAGGAGGAAAATAGAGAACTGCGGTTTTCACCTTTAGAAAGAAAAGATAAAGACCCATTGAATCGTATATTACAGGTTTTCTGATCTAGGTTTATTCAAGTTTTGATCGACCTTTTTGAAAACACACCTATTCAATCAGGTACTTGCCGTGAGTTTTCAGTTATCAGCTGTGTATTCGAACCGCTGATCGAAGATCTACGAAATTGTGCAAGACTCAGATGTTTCTTTCAATAAGAAATCATTTTGCGGAGTTTTTTTTTAGAAAACTGATTTTAAAAAGAATATCTATCATTTACCACAAACTGTGGTCCCCAGATACATCCCCACATCATATCCACATTTGGAGATAATTAAACAATTATGATCAATTCTGATGACCAAATAGAGATTTTTATTTAAGGATTTTTTTTAAATATAAGATATGCCATACATAACATAATTCAACAACATCTTCTACCCTACTGAAAATTTTTTGCCGTTGAAACCAAGTACTGTAGCGGAAACCTTAGTATGCCTAAGTACAGTCTGGTCACCAGAAACAGAGATATTAGGAGAAGACACTACTTTTTAGCTTGTTAACATTCTGGTCACCAGATGTCAAGTGATCTCTGGTTTCTTGAGCTACTGTCTATCCATAAATGATGTCACATAGATGCGCTCGATTGTAAGAAAAGAGCTGAGTCAGGAAAAGATTCGAGTAAATAATTTGAGTATTGAACTCAAGACTTTGGAAAAAATTTTGTTGAATTTGAATATGAACTCGAGCTGGTGAGAGTGGTGACAAAGTGAATAAAGTAGATAATGAGAGCAGAAAGATTATTTTGATTGACTATATTCATCTCGAACAAGTACTGATTAACACCATTATATAAACATTTCGAATGGTACAAGGTTAGGATACAAACACTATTATTAGCGGGATCTAATATTTGATGATAACAAAGTCATGGTTTTCATTACATTTGCATTTTCTTTTGACGTAAAATTCATGACAAAACGTTGATCCAATGTAAATATTTAATATTACAAAAATAAACCGTAAAAAAACGACATTTTGATGCTGAGATATTTCAATTATAAGTCGGGAAATTTTTCATTTAGATAATGAATAAACTTGGCATGAGTAATAGAAAAAAAACACGTTATTGAAAGTTGTCAACATAAAGCACATATTTTCCCTGCAGGTGCCGGGAAATATAGACACATATCAATGTAAACAAGCTTGTATCTATGATGGGAAATATCTCACAGCGCAGGATAGAGAAAAATAAAGATGACTCATGTTACTGCAAGTACATATAATATATAGCTGGTAAAATCGTACATCTTGTCTATGTACTGATTACTTGCAATTTATTGACTAGGAACTATTATCTGCATACAAAGCTGTCAATTTTACCAAAAACAAATTTAGTATTATTACTATTGGAAGTCTCTTCATCATCCAATTAAAATCTCTCTTATGGATAAAATTGCTATTTATCTGTTTGGTGTATTGATGATAGTTCGATTGATCGAAGGTGGTTGTGGATGTGAAGGTTGGTGCCAAAAAAATGGTAAACAGTATGGGATCTGTGGTGATGGACACACTTGTATCTGTTCATCAAAACCAATAACAGATTCAGGTAAAGTACAACGAATTCATATTGATCTTAGTCTTTCTCATGGTCTCGATAATGTCAACTGACATGTCTAATAAGGCATGGCAGTAACGTATGAAGTTTTCGTTTGGTGGAATTAAAATTGTTATTCTTACATTATTTACCAGGGGTATACGAAAATAACATTCAGCAAAGACCGAATCCTTTAAACCTAGAGCTCAATCCATAGTCAAAAACTCAGCAGTCTCTTCTCTTTGAGTTTTCTTTTGCTCGTACTGTACAATAAGCTGATATAATCTATCTTAAACTCTGAATTTACTTGTTC